GTGGGGGCTGGGAGGGGTTCCAATCTCTGGGCCAGGCTGGGCTGCAGCTCAGCGGCCGAGCCTCTGCTTAGCGTGCATGCAGGAGGCCTTGGGTTCCATGCCCAGCGCTGTAATACACGTGCACACATGCACGCATGCGTGCAAGCAAGCCTGGCTGCAGTCTGACTTCTGGTCCCATCACAGGCTCCCTTCTGAGTGCTCCCGCCCCTGTGTTTTTCTGCTATGCTGTGATTCAGCCAAGGGCCGGAGTCACCCACCCCACAGCCACCAGCCCCCGTAGACCAAATAATCTCTCCTTTGTAAACTCCCGTGTCTTTTTATAACAACCCAAAGTGGCCTGACGGTGCTGCTTCCTGGGACTGTCACGGCTCAGACTTTTTCTAGATACACATAAGACTGTGCCCATACATACAAACAGTGCCAGTTCTTATTTTAATTCATAGTGTTTGAAAGCTGGGCAAAGCAGCACATGCCTGTAATCTCAGCTACTGAAGAGGCTGTGGCATGAGGATCACAAGTTCAGGACTAGCCTGGGCCACGAGTGAAATTCCACCTCAAAAAATAAAAAGGTTGGTGAGGTAGCTCAGTGCTTCAGCACCCCTTGCTTTAATCCCCGGGACAAAAGCAAAAATGTTTTCTACATATCAAGGAAGGTAGAAGAGGAGAACAGACTAAAAGAAAAGAAGCGGCACAAGTGCCTGCCTGGCAACAGCAAGGTCCTGGGTTCAATTTCTGGTACCAAAAAATTTAAAAAGGCCTGGTGTGGTGGTGCACTCCTGTAATCCCAGCACTTTCGGGAGGCTGAGGCAGGAGGATTGCTGCAATTTAGAGACCAGCCTGGGCTACAAAGTAAGCCCAACGCCAGCCTTAACCGCATGGCAAGACCATGTCTCAAAAAGACAAAATAAATAACTAAATAAATAAACTAACTAAATAAAATAATAAAGCAAAGAGGAAACATTTTCTAATTCATCTAGATATAACATCTCAATGTTTACTCAATTTCATTGTATGTAATTAATATGCAGTGAAATGCACACATTGTAAGTGGAAAGTTTGATGAATTTGTCAACACAGGCACCGACCCTGAGAACATTTCTGTCACCTTAGAAGCTGTCCTTATGCTCCTGTGAGCCCAGCTGATCTGCTTTTTGTCACCGGCGCTGCCCTTGCCAGAATTTATGCAGACTCCCACAGGAGCAGTCATTAGTTTCTGGCTTCTGTAACTTGACATAATGCTTCTGAGAGGGATCTGTGTTATCCTGTGTGTCTGTAGTTTATCCACTTCTATCAACTTGTTATAGTGCTCAATTGCATGCATAGGATTCAGTTAATCTATTCACTTATCCTTTTCTGTCTCTATTTTTTGCTTTTTATTTTTTATTTTTTTAGGTGCTGGGGATCAAACTCATGACCTCATGCTTCCACTGAGCTAAATCCCTGGCCTATTTTCTGGGTTTTTTTTGTTTTTTTTTTTGTCTTTTTTCATTTTTATCGGTACCAGGGATCGAACTCATGACCGCCTGCTTGCAAGGCAGGTGCTTATGCCGCTGAGCTAAACCTCCAGCCCCTATTTTCTGTTTTTTAGAGTCAGGGTCTCACTCTGTAGTTCAGGCTGCCCTTAAACTCAGTATGCAGCCCAGGCTGTCCTCAAACTCACAGCTACCCTCCAGTCTCAGCCCCCTGAGTGTTGGAACTATATGTGTGTGTCATCACATTCAGCTTATTAAATTCACTTTTTATCATAGTAAAATGTCTAACATGTCATTTGTCATTTTAGCCATTTTATTTCTTTTTATTGTTACTTTTTTTTAGACAGAGTATCACTATATAGTTCAGGCTGGCCTCAAACTCACTGCAATCCTCCTGCCTCAGCCTCCCAAGTGGTGGGATCATAGGTGTGCTCCACCACTTCCAGCACTTAGCATGTTTTCAAGTTTCATACATGTAGCATGGATCAGAGCTTTCTTTTCATTGCTGGATATTATTCTTCCATATGAGCACATATTATCCGTTCATGTCTTGAGGGATCCTGGGGTTTTGCATATTTCTAATTTGTAATCATTATGAACAAAGCTACTACGGACATTCAAGTGCTGGTATTTGTGTAGATACGTGTTTTCATTTCTCCAGGGTAAACATATGGACATAGAATTACTTTGTTTGGTAAGAGAAGTTTATCCTTGCAAGAAACTGCCAAGCTGCTTTTCAAATCACCTGCTATCATTTGCATTATCACCAGCAAAGTGTGAGAATTCAACTGCCCTACATCCTCACCAACATCCATATAGTCCAACTTTTTAAAATGCTAGCATTTCTAGTAGAGGTATACTTCTCTCCTTTCTTTTTTGTCTTTTTCCTTTTTATCAGTACCAGGGATCGAACTCACTACTGCCTGCTTGCAAGGCAGGCCCTTATGCCGCTGAGCTAAATCCCCAGCCCCCACTTCTCTCCTTTTTTTCTTTTCTTTTTCTTTTTTCTTTTTTCTTTTTTCTTTTTTTTTTTTTTTGTCTTTTTTGAGACAGGGTCTTGTGTCATGTAGTTCAGGCTGGTCTTGAGCTCACTTTGTAGCCCAGGCTGCTGGTCTCGAACTCGCAACTATCCTCCTGCCTCAGCCTCCCAAGTGCTGGGATTACAGGCATGTTTGTTTGTTTGTTTCTTTCTTTCTTTCTTTCTTTCGACACAGGCTCTCATTAGGCAGTTTAGGAAGGCCTCGAACTCATTTTGAAGATTAGGCTGGCCTCAAACTCGTGATTCTCCTGCCTCAGCCTCCAAGTGCTAGGAATTCTGGGAATCCAGATTTGCACCACCACACCCAGCTCCCTTTCTGTATTTCAAGGAGAAAGAGGGGCTCATTATGTTGCCCAGACTGGTTTTGAATTCCTGGGCTCTACTGACCTTCCTGCCTAGGCCTCCCAGTGCAGACTTTAGTGTTTCTATTGTTTAGCTGTATTTCTTTATGTTGATGATGTTAAATATCTTCCCACACTCTAGCTATCATCTGTATATCTTCTTCTGTGAAATGAAATGAGGTGTCTGTTAAAATATTTTCTGAAAAAAAGAAAAAAAATTTTCTGCATTTGAAATTAAATTCTTTCTCCTTTTTTATTTAAATTGTGATGTTTTGCGGTGCTGGAGATGGATCCCAGGGACTCATGCTGGGCAAGTCCTCTGCCCCTGAACTACACCATAATCCTTAGGAGCATGGTTTGTCTGTTTGTTTTTGTACCAGGAATCAAACTCAGGACCTTGTGCTTGCCAGGCAGATGCTGTGCCGCTGAGCTATATTCCCGGTCCAGTAGCATGTTTTAAGAGTTCTTTATATAATTTAGGTGTAGATTCTTGTCAGATGTGCCTATATTCATGGCTTTTTGTTTTGTTTTTGTTCTTCGAGACAAGGTTGGCCTCAAATTTACAGTGATCCTCTTGCCTTAGACTCCGGAGTGCTGGGATTACAGATGTGCACCACCATGCCCAGCCTCCACGTTCCTGTTTAAATATGCATCACAAAATATGTGCTGGGAACATTTCTCCAGGTCTGTGTTTACCTTTTCATTTTCTTAAAAGTATCTTTTGAAGTGCACATTCTGCATTTTCCCTTTTTTTTTTCTTTTCAGTAATAGGGATTGAACCCATGGCCTTTTTGATTTTTAATTTTGAGACAGGGTCTTGCTAAATTGTCTAAATTGCTGAGCTCAAATTTGCCACCCTCCTGCTTCAGCCCCACAGAGTACTGGGATTACAGGTCGCGGCACCTTGCCCTGGTGAGGTGTCATTTTTTAATATGCTGTATTTTTATGATTTGTCTGAGAAAACTTTGTCTAACCCAAGGCTGTTTTAGAATTTTCTGTTAAATGTATCTCCATTATCCATTTTAAGTTAATTTCAGAATATGGTATGAATGCATTAGTCAAGGTCAAGCTTTAAATTTTGTGTATGTTTTGTTCTAGCACCATTTTTTTTTTTTTTTTTTTTGGTTGTTGTTGCTGTTTGCTTGTTTGGTCATTTTGAGGCAGTGTTCCAGCTGGTCTTGAACTCACACTGTATCCCAGGCTGGCCTCGAAATCACAGGGCTCCTCCTGCCTCAGCCTCTGGAGGGCTGGATTACGGTGTGCACCACCACACCCAAATAGCACCATTTGTTGAAGAGACTATCTGTATCCTACTGAACTGTCAGCCTTTAAGACAATCTCACATTCGGTGTGTAGGTCTATTTGGGGGCCCTCTCCTCTGTTCCAGAAATCTTACGTTTTTCTTCAGACAATGATATCACTGTTGTAATTATTGTAGCTTTATAATGTCTTGAAATTACAAGACATAAATTCACCAAATTTGGTCTTCTTTTTCAAAACTGTTTTGGCTAATGTTAAGAGTTTTCTGGTGCAATAGAGAAGTAAAAGTACAAAATGAAGAGACTTACTGAGTTGAGGACGTGGAAAGGAGCACACAACCCATGGAGGCAGAGGGTTATGTGACCTCTGATTGAAGTGGCACACGGGGCAGATATTGATGATGTGTGAGGAACCGACTGGAATTCTCTTTTTTTTTTTTCTTTTTTTTTTTTTGTCTTTTTCCTTTTTATCGGTACCGGGGATCGAACTCACCACTGCCTGCTTGCAAGGCAGGCGCTTATGCCGCTGAGCTAAATCCCCAGCCCCCGCTCCACTGGAATTCTCTGTGTGTGCAAACAACAGGAAGGGAGTTGCAATTAGGGCTGAAGATGAAGCAGGAAGTGGTAGGCTTCCCGCTTTGGCTTTCTGCCGCATTAGACCCCCACCATAACTGTACAGTGATTTATATTAGGGCAAGAACCTTTTACCTAACGTGGGTCTTTTGCATTCTATGTAAATTTAGATTTAGCTTTCATTTCTGTAACAAAACTTTGGTAGGATTTTGACTGAAATTGTTTTAGTCTTTACATCAATTTAGGGAAAATTGACGTTACTGATACTGAATCTTCTGACCCACAGACATTGTATATCCTAATTTTTTTTTAGGTCTTTCTTACTTTTCTTTGGCAATACTTTATAGTTCTTGCATATATATATATATATATACATATATAGATATATATCCCACATACACTGCTGATGACTGGACCTATGGTCTTCACACGGAACTACACCCTAGCCCTTTCCTTTATACGCCTTTATTTTGAGACAGGGTCTCACTAAGTTGCCGAGCGAGCCTCCTGCCTCAGCTTCCAGACTAGCTGGGATGGCATGTGCTTGGCTTTGGACCTGATGGCACTTGTTGCTAGCCTGCTGGGGATTTCCGGCGTAGATGCTCGAGTGAACTGGAGTAATGGCAGTGCCGTGTCGTCCTCTGCCTGTCTGTTCGGCATTTGCCTCTTTTGATTTTCCTATTGCTCTGGACAGGACCTCCTCCACAATGCTGGGTAGATATGCTCAGAGCGGGTGTTGTGATGAGACCTTTAAAAACTTGTTTAATCTTCATCAAACAGGAATAATCACTGGCTGTAATAGAGGCAGAAAAAAAAACTATGATATGTGAAATGTATGTGTGAGCAGGTTCGACAGAAAATGGAGCCATTAAATCCTACTCCTTGGGGAAGATTTATTTACTTGTTCGTTTATTTATTGTTTTTGGTATTGGGGATCAAACTCAAGACCTCGAATTTGCCAGGCAGGCACTTATGCTGCTGAGCTGAATCCCAGGCATCTGTTTTTGTGTTTAGAGACAGGACCTCGCTACACAGCTCAGGCTGGCCTCGAACATGTGGCGATCCTCCTGCCTCAGCCTACCGATGGCTGAACTTGCAGGCGTGTACCGCGATGCCCACTGGTGGAGGATGGTGGAGGACAGGGTTCTGAGTGTCATCGACATTTCAGAGGCCGCTTTGCCCTTGCTGCGCTCTCCAGGTTGCTGCCGCGCTGCCTCTGCTCCCTCCACCCCCTCGCCTGCAGGATGCTGGTCTCTCCCCGCCTGCTGGGCTGCTCGCGGACCTGCTCCCGCGTCCTGGGGCTGAGCCTGGGGGCTGCGGCGCTGTTTGCTGCTGGTGCCAACGCGGCGCTCCTCTTCCCCAACTGGGACGTCACCTACCTGCTGCGGGGCCTCATCGGCCGGCACGCCCTGCTGGGCTCCGGGTTCTGGGGAGCGGGTCTGATGGTGAGATCCGGGCTCGGGTGGGAATTCACAGCGCCCCCAGGGTGGAGCTGGGGACTGCGGGGAAGCTGCGCTTTGACGGTTGCAACCATCCTGCCGTGGGGGCTGAACACCCACTCCTAGGATTTGCAAGACTTGGCAAACAGGGAGGTCGTCTTGGAATCAGGGAGGCTGGGGTAAACCTGACATCCACAGTTCAGGTCACTTGAAACAGCGTCATGGGAGTCAAAGCCAACGGAACAGAGCTGAGATTACACCTGTAATCCCAGTACTTGGGAGGCTACTGTAGAGGGAGGATCTCTGTGACCTGGAAGTCAGCCTAGTCTACAAGATGAGTTCAATTAGCCTGAACTGCATAGCCAGACTCTGTCTGAGAGAGAGAGAGAGAGAGAGAGAGAGAGAGAGAGAGAGAGAGAGAGAGAGAGAGAAAGAGAAAGATACAGACAGAGCCCAATAAAAGATTCTTGCTAGGCAGTCAGCAAATCACTCTAACTCAACAGCTGAATGACCCAGTCTCTCCCTGACACTCTCTGCAGGTGCTCATGGCTGCCACCCTCATCTCCATGATGGGCTGGAGAGGCTGCTGCTTCGGGAAGAGTGCACCATGCTGCAGTGTAAGCCACCATGCACTGTCCTGGCTTTGGCTCCCTCTAAGCGAACAGGCCTGTTATACTTCTGAGACTCAAAGTCAAGTCCTAAATGTGCCCCTGAGTGCCACTGGGTGGCAACCCACCCGGCTCTCCAGACCCATCCTCATCTCTTGCGTGGGGGTGGTCACCTCACCGGAGGAAGGGCATGAGGGCCACCAAAATGGTAGGAGCATTGTTCTTAGTACACTGAACAGTGCAGACGGGAGCCATGGACATGGTAATAGTCACTGGTAGGAAGTTTCCTGGCTATTTTAGTTAATATATATATATTTTTTTGTTTGTTTGTTTTGTTTTGTTCTGTTGTCTTTTTCCTTTTTATCGGTACTGGGGAGCAAACTCACGACTGCCTGCTTGCAAGGCAGGTGCTTATGCCGCTGAGCTAAATCCCCAGCCCCAATTAATATTTTCTTAAATGCCTGGGGCTGTGGCTACAGCACTTGTCCAATATGTCCAAGGTCCCAGCATTGCATAAAAAAGAAAAAATACCCAGCATTGCATAAAAAAGAAAAAATATAGAGAGGGACAATGTATAGAGATTCTATGTGGATATATATGCATGTATCTACACATTATTTTCCACTGTTTGGGAGGTGTTGAGTCGATAGGGTTTCACTAAGCAGCCCAGGCTGGCCTTGCACTCACTGAGCGCCTCCTGTTTCAGCCTCCCAGGTTCTGGGACTACAGACGTGCACCACCCTGGTGGGCAACCTTGAATATTTTAATTTGGGGCCAAAATTCACTAAGCACTTTTCTTTTTTTCTTTCCTTTTTCTTTTTTTTTTTTTTCTTAATTTTTTTGTTTTTGGTACCAGAATCAAATTTAGGACCTTGCACTTGCTAGACAAGTGCTGGGCCCTAAGACTCATCCCCTAAGAACCTTTCTCTGACCCCCAGCTTGACATCAGTGGGAAAATGACTGTGAAAACTCTGTAGGTTTTATTCACCTATTTAAAAAGTGCATTCTTTTGGGAGGAAGAAATGCACTGTGACCTGCAGGTGGGGAGGTAAAGGTCCAAGGAGGAGACAGCAGGGCATCTCCCCAGGTGGAATGGGCTGTCCGGCCTTGCCAAGAACTGGCTCTTGCACTCTCCCCTTCCTCCCTTTTAAGCTTGACTTGAGAACAAGAGGCATCAAGGCTGGCCAGCCAGTCCTTAGAGGAGTCAGATTCCGGCATGGAAAGCCACTCTGCCCCTCTTTCCCCAGAGCTGAGTGACGCAGTCCAGGTGCTGGGATGTCTGGTGCCAACCTGCCAGGCCGGAGAGTCTGCTGAGTCAGGAAGGTGCAGGCCCAACTGCCCCTGTCTCTTTCTTGGGCCTCTGTCTTTCCCTCACCCCCTTCTTTGCTCTCCCTGGAGATGACAGCATCTCAGGAAGGGAAGGGCCAGCCAGGGGACAGGGACTTGGATGTTTCCTATCACCCTCTCTCTGCAGATCCTCACTGCTCTGCTGGCCAGCGGCTTGGCTTTCCTTGGATCCCTGATCTGTTTCATCACTTCCGGAGTGGCCCTGAGAGATGGCCCACTGTGCATGTTTGACATCTCATCCTTCAATCAGACAAAGGCATGGAAATACGGTTACCCATTCAAAGACCTGCGGCACATGTAAGCACTGGGGACTTGGATTTGTGGTCTTTTTAGAGACACAGAGAGTGAGGCAGATCCTCCTGCCTCAGCTTCCAAAGTGCCTTGTTTACTCCCTACTCTGACCTTATTTTGGGAACAGAAATTATCTGTATGACCATTCACTCTGGAGCTCTGTCTGCCTGGAGCCCTCTAAGGCCGTTGTCTGGCACGTGTCCTTCTTCTCGGTTCTCCTGTGTGTCAGTGCACTCCAGCTTCTCCTGGTGGCCATCCATTCCATCAATAGCCTCTTCGGCCTCTTCTGCAGCCTCTGTGAGGAGTGACAGGTAAGGTGCCTAGGTGCCCAGGTTCCTCCAGGCCTCGTTGAAGCCTTTCTTACTGCAGCATCTAAGAAAGACAGATGAGCATCCCTTTGTACACAGCAAGCGGGTATGGTGATGCATGCCTGTAATTCTCAGGAGGCTGAGGCAGGAGGACCTCAGTGAGTTTGAGGTCAGCCTGGGCTCTATAGTGAGTTCAAGGCTGGCCTGAACTACATAGGGAGACTCTGTCAAAAAAAAAAAGTGGCTATATGAAGCTTCAAGAGGAGAAGGGGTTGTGAACCAAAAGCACACAGTTAAGGGACAGTCAGTAACTGACCCCCTATGTTCTCAATTCAAGTTCACCAGCTGCTATGGACTATATTGTGTCCCCAAACTCCATGGGCTGATACCCTCACCCCAGTGGCTAGAAAAGCCACATTGATAATCAGAGCTCCACAGAGGCTGGCCCTCCATCCCTGGGGCTGTGGTCTGGGGGACTGCAGTATGAGGTCAGGGACAGAGGGGACAGTGGGAGGGAGTCCCCTGGTCCAGATGCTGCATCCTGTCCCATGTGCAGCCTTAAGGAGCACAGCTCCCAGTTGGCTGATTTCGCTGCAGGGTCACAGCAGGATGGGGCTGACCTGTAGAAACTTCTTTAGGAGACAGGGACTGACGGTGCCACACAATAAATGCAGAGGGGAAGGGTAATTCAGGAGCCGGGGGTGTGGCTCGGTGACAGAGTACATGCTTGGCATGTGCCAGACATGGGCTTGTACACACACACACACACACACACACACACACACACGCGCGTGGGTGCATGCTAATTTACATCTACTTTTTTCTTGTTTTCGTTGAGACAGGGTCTCATTATGCAGCCCAGGCTGGCCTCTACCTCGAGTCAGTCCTCCTGCCTCAGTCTCCTGAGTGATGAGATTGCAAGTGTACGCCACCACACCTGCCTCCATGTACCTGGCTGAGCACACGCACATGGTGCGTGTACTCACACCCATGGGGGCTCACACCCATCCAGGATCAGGCCTCCTTTCCTGGCTGAGCAGGCCTCGAGGCGAGCGAGGTCAGTCCTTGCACCAAGACAGTTCCTAGTGGACGGCAGGCCCCTCCTCGCCTCTGTGCTTCAGGAACTCTGGCTGTCACTGCAGGAGAGCTTCGCAGGCCAGCGCCTCCTCCCTCAGCCTCAGCTGGGCAGCATACCCTCCTGCCCCACTGCACATGCAGGGTGGCTCCTCCCCTCTGGACGCCCCAGCCTCTCTGCACCTAGAACCTGGGGTGCACCCAGTCGATGATGGTCCTCAGAGCCTTGAGGTCTCAATGCAGTCACATGGTGTTGGCGCCCAACCGTCTCTCTCCAAAATTTGATTTTGGGCCCTGACTGGGGGACAAGGGAAGGAAAGGGCCTTGGAGAAGGGAGGAGGCGAGTCCGGGGCTGGTGTTGCTCCCCTCAGCAGGCTGGGGTTGGGTAAGCCTTTTCTGAAGGAGAGCCTTCTATCCTCAAGTGTGCGTTTGGGACTGAGGAGGTTGTTTCTGGTTCCTAGTCCCACGCAGAGGTGAGGCCGTCTTCAGAGCAGTGTGTCCTGTCTGCAGGACTAAGGACATTTCTCATGGACACCATGTCCCCTGGAGGATGAAGCACGTTTTGCTTGGACACCTTGTCACATGTGAAGTTGGAAGAATAATGCGACGTGACATGCGGCTTGTGCTCACGAAGCAGCGGGACAGTGTTAACTTCCAGCCCTCAGTCCTGTTAAGTAGGAGGCGCCCTTGTTTGCACTGAGGGTGTAGGGCTGAATTGTGTGCAGTGCTATCCCACAGCGTGGGGAAAAGGCTTTCTGCAGCCGTCTGTGTGTTGGAGATTGTTTCAAATTTGTAAGAACTATTAAAGATCGCACTTTTTACTTAAACCGCTCAGCTGTGTTTCATGGACAGGGACCTTCCCATGTCCATGGGAAGTAATTCAGGGCCTTTACAATCTTGAGCGTTATAGTGAATGACACCTTATATAGTAATAGTCGGACACTCCCGTGCAATCTATTTATTCTTGCCTGGCAAGGCCTTAGTGTTATTCATTTGTGTATCTTTAGCTCAGCAAAGATGGCATAATAAAATGCTCATTAAGTCAGTTTATGCACCAAATCCTCTGTAGTTTTTGATAGACTGCGTGGATCGGATGAGAGAAAGAGCTGAGATTGTAAGAGGTGAGGGAAATGCTTCCTAGAGATAGGATTTTTTTTTTTTGACACGATCTCACAATGTAGTCTGAACTGGCTTTGAACTTGCAGCAATCCTCCTGCCTCAGCATCGTTAGTGCTGGGACTGCAGGTATGCACTACCACACTGGGCTGAGGTATGATTTCTTACAATGTTTCTTAAGCAGCAAGGAGAAAATAGCACCTATCTGTAAGACACATTGCATCTTCATGCAGGTGGAGTCAGGCTTGTCTGCAGATGCAAGACTTGTGCCAGAGATGTCCTGGGTGCTGCCAGCCTCTAGCAGCTACAGAAGTGGTAGAGGAGCCCAGAGCGGGTGCAGGGTGTCCACCACTCCTCCAGCCTCTGCATAGACCTCAGTGTGCAGGCCAGGGGGAGACTCACCAAACCAGTTATGTCACAGTGGGCTTACAAACAGGAGATTGAATGCCAGAGGTGGGGCAAACAGCACTGTGATAAAGGAAAGCACTGTTTTAGTTCCTTTCCACTCTGTTAAGACACAACACCCAAGGGCCACACGTTAAAAGGAGGAGAGGTTTATTTTGGCTTATGGTTTGTGGCAGTTTTAGTCATAGTCAGCTGGCTCAAGCAGGGAGGGATGGCAGAGGGGACTAGAGAAGAGAAGCAGCCCATGGTAGATAGGGTGAGGAGACCAGAGAGGGAGCAGAAGCGGAGCAAGATACACCCTTCTGTGCCATGCCACACTGGCTGCCTCTGGCCACCAGGCTCCACCTCCCTGCATCACTTTTAGTCATACACTCAGCTGTGGACCAATCCCTAATGAATACAGTGCCCCATGTTCCAATCACCTCCCAAAAGTGTCCCCCTCATGAGCCTGTGAGGCTTTGGGGAGACATCTTTAGATCTTTAGATGAAACCATTTACAGCCACTTGGGAAAACAGGGTTGGGAAGTTTACTGGAATCAGGGCAACCAATTAAAGCAATAATGTCAAGAAGGTGCTTTGTAAATCACAACCTAGAATAGTAAGAATTAGCTGCTCTCTGCTGGAAGTTGTAAAAGTTTAAAGTTGTAAAGTTAAAAATTGTAAAACTATCCTTTTTGTATCTTATAAAAGCAAGCTTTGGAACTTGATACAACTAATACGTTGAGGTAAATCAAGGTAGCCTGGGTGGGTATTGGAGAATGTTTTTTTGTTTGGTTTTTGAGACTGGGTCTGGCTATGTAGTCCAGACTTGCCTTGAATTCCTAGCCAGGAATGGAATCCTCCCGCTTCAGTTTGCCAAGGCTGGGAGTACACGTGTGTTCCAGCATATCCTGCCTACCATATCCTTGGTTTTCACAAGAGAAAGACTACCAACCTTCTAAACCAGGAAGAAGGACTGGTGCTTTTAAGCAGGGAACAATGCCTAAGGCGGCTCTTTCCTGACTTCTGAGCTGGAGCAGGGGGTGGGGTCAGACACAGCAGGCTGGTTGGCTGCCGAACTGCGGGTTACAGCAGTGCTCTGCACACTTTTTCCAGGAGCCAGAGAGTACTTCAGGCTTTGTGGGCCATCTGGGATTTGTGACAACCACTCACTTATGCCTATACAGGACATATGCAGCCATAGGCAAGCTGTAAAATTAGCATAGTTGTGTTCTAATGAAGCTTTACAATTAAAGATTTAGATTGCTATAATTTTCATGAGTCACAAAGTATCCATTCTTCCTTTGATTTTTTTTTTTTTTTTTTTAACCAGGGATTGAACTCATAACCACGAGCTTGCCAGGCAGGTGCTTATGCCGCTGAGCTAAATCCCCAGACCTCTTCCTTTGATTTTTTGATCGTTAAAAAACAAATTTTGTTTTTGCAGGGCACGGTGGAGCTTGCCTGTAATCTTAGCACTCTGGAAACAGGAAGCTGAGGCAGACGGATGGCCGAGTTCTAAGCCAATCTGGGCCACATAGTGAGTTCAACATGAGACCCTGTCTCACAAAAAATAAATAAATAAAAAATTTTAAAAATCTGTTCTTGGTTCACAAGTCAAAACAACAAAAGAAACAAAACAGGAAGAAGGCTAGATTTGGTCCAGGCTGGTTTAAAGACCCATTGATTAGAACCAGCAGTCTGCCTGGTGCACCCTTAGCTCACTTAGCTTGGTACCTTTGGTGAAGTTCTCTTGCTTCTGTGTGCCTCAGGGTCCCTGCACGACTGTTTCTGTGCTTAAACCCACTGGAAACCTTCAAAAGCTTCGTAAACGGGACAGAGATACACACTGTGATCGAAAAATATGGTGAAAGTTTACATTAAAACAATTATGACCCATTATTACCCATCACACTACCATGAGCCCCTTCCAGACACACCCTTTGTTTCCAACAGTCAGCCCATCAGTCTTGCCAGTTCCCGAGGCAGCTCCGCAAGTCCTCTTTAATGAGGGTCTTCAGATGTGCTGTCCTCTTAGCTGCCTTGATGTCCTGAGTCGATTCAGAACGTCCTTTGATGGGTATTTTGACTTTGGAGCAGAGCCAGAAGTCGTAGGATGCCAGATCTGGTGAATAACGTGGGTGAGAACACAGTGTAATGTTTTGAGGAGCTCGCCTTTCGCAGTGATCCACGTTTTGGGGTGCCAGTACACACCCACCCCTGGCAAGCAGTGCCCCAACCTCCCTCAGCTCCGTCACTCAGCGTGCGCATGCGCAGCCATGGGCCAGACGCTGGGAAGCGCGTATGGCGCGTCACGTGACGGCTAAGGGTGGCCCTGTCGCCCTGGCGACGGTCTCCTAGCTGCTGGCCTCGGCTGCCCCGGGTCCAGGAGGCCTGGCCATGGCCGCCTCGGCCAGCACATCCTTCACTGCAGGCCCATCGTTCGCCGGCGTGGACGGGTTGCTTGAGACCGAGAAGAACTCAGAGGAGCCCGAGAACACCTATATTCTGAGGCCTATTTTCCAGCAAAGGCGGGTAGCAGACGGGATGTGGCGCGGGGACTTCGGGAGTGTGGGATTCTGTATGCGTAACTCTTCTGGGAGGCTGAGCGCCAGAAAGGAGCGCGCTGCTGGCGCGGCGGGGCGGGGCCGGAGGGCAGGGGGAGGGCCGCTGGACTTTGGACGCTGCGACTCTGCTCTGGCGCCAGGGGGCAGCAAAGGCCCGAAACTACCGTGCTGCCTTAGGCCACCCACAGCGTGCCCTGGGGGAGTCGTTGACCCCGAGAAACCAAGTGCTTATGGGAAAGAAGGATAGAATGGAGAGCGGCAGAAAATCAGCAGCGGGTACGGGACGCTGTTCAGTCTTGTTTCCAGGACTAACGTATACGCAGCTGTGCCAGAATGCACCTACTCCTGGCTCTGAACCTGGTTGTGCACGTCCGTAATCTCTGCACTCCAGGAGGCTGAGGCAGGAGGACTGCAAGTTTGAGCCCAGCCTAGGCAATTTAATGAGACCTGTCTCAAAAAATAAAAAGGCCGGGGCTTGGTGGCGCATGCCTTGGGAGGCTGAGGCAGGAAGACAGACATGAGGCCAGGCTGGGATACAAAGTGAGTTCAAGGCCTGCCTGAACTGCATAGCTAGACTGTGGTTCAAAAAAATAAAAATAAAAAGGGCTGGGGCTGTAGCTCAGTGGTAGAGCACCACAGGGTTCACTCCCCAGTACTTCAGGGAAAAGTTTGGCTATCTTGGTAAAAGGTTCTAACAATGTAGAGGGTGGCACCAGGCCTTCTCCACTGTGGAACAAGATTGACAACACATGGGCATATATGTAGGAATACTCCTGTATGTGATTAGATTGATTGATTTTGGAAGGGGGCACGGGGATCAAACTCATGACCTCACACTTACCAGGCAAGTGCTGGAGCCGCTGAGTTAAATCCCCAGCCCTGATAGATTTCTGAGACAGCATTTCCCTATGTAGTTCAGGTTGGCCTGGACTCAGTACCCACTCCTGGACTCGAACTTGCTGTGATCTACCTGCCTCAGCCTCCCAAAGTGCTGGGATTACAGGTGTGTGCCACTATGCCTGGCCACTTTAAGCTTTTTAAATTCTCAATAATATGTTGAGGTCTCCTTTATACAACTCACACATAAAATTACAGGAGCTGGTTGTGGAAGCACACATCTGTAGTCTCAGGAGGCTGAAGCAGGAGGATCATCGCAAGTTTGAGACCAGCCCGGAGTACATAATAAGCTCAGACCAGCCTGGACTACATAGCAAGATCCTGTCTCAAAAAACAAAAACAAAAATAGTCTTTTAATCTGACAGATGGTGGACAAATCAACTGACAGCCATGAAAGAAGGAACTAAATGTTGTAATGTGTGATAAATTCAACCAACCTGCTAACAATATTGGTAGGGTGATGAAATGGTGGTGGTGGTGGGGGGTCCTTTTCTTTCTTTATTTAATAATCTTCAGAAGTGTGTATTGTGCGTGATGTGAGTATGGAGGTAAAACTGAACAAAACTGATGAAACGCCCTGATCTGATAGAGCTTGTGCCTAGTAGGGATGAGGGACGTCCCACAAGAGAAAGTCACGGTGAGGCTCTAGGGGAGCACAGACAGGAGCAGGGAGGGAGGAGGCAGGAGGCGGTGGGAAGTCTCCAGCTGTGCCTGGAAAGGGGACTTGCCTGTGATGCAGGGAGCCAGCTGTGTCTGCATGGTGACAGCAAGCACAGATTGCAGGGGTCCAGCAGTGGTGGCCTAGGATGAGGCAGTGGAAGGTGTGCCAGCCAGGCAGCTGCAGGAGATTTCGTGGGACCCTTTATGTTACCGTGAGGACCCCAGCCCTTATTTGGATGCAGTGGGAAAAATCTGGAGGCTTTTTGTTGTTGTTGTTGTTAATGTTGTGTATTTGGGACAGGGCCTCACTATGTGGTCCAGGCTGGCCTTGAACTCACTATGTGGTCCAGGCTTCCCTCAGACTTGCAGCAACCTTCCTGCCTCAGCCTCCTACGTGCTGGCACCACAGGCGTGCACCATCATGGCTGGCTGGGATATTTGAAACAGGCGAGTCTCCCGGAAATCCTAGGGCTGAAACAGCCAGGCTGAGTCTGGGGCTGCTGGGGACCTGAGAGAGGGAGGCACAAGAAGACAAAGGACCTGTTAGATGCTGTGGGGCTACTAGCCCAAGGCAGGAGATGGGGGAAGAGTGATTGAATCTGAGATAATTTTGAAGGTAGAACAGATAAGATTTCCTCACTGACAAGACTGATCCAAGGCTTTTGGCTGAGTGCAGTAGGAGCACAGTTGCCATCCATGGCAATGGGGGGAGCCCTGGGGGGGTCTGTGTGGAGAAAGATGAGCGTGAAGCTCACGGTGCAGTGCGTCAGCTGTGCGTTTCTGCCGGAGTTTAGGGGAGGCCCAGGCTGCACACACAACTTTGGATATGACTTGTTTCTTAATTTTTTTATTTGGGGGGGGGGGCTCTTTTTATTTTTTAAGTTTTGAGACAGGGTCTTACAAAGTTGCCCAGGAGAGACTTGAATTTATGATTTTTCTTCTGCCTGGGCTCACAAGAGCTAGGTTTGCAGGTCTGCGCCATCACGCCTGCGCTGGTGTTACTACCTTTACGAGGAAAAGTAAGGATAAGAAGGACTAAACAGCACTGATGACCAAACCTGGGGGAGTCGAGGTGTGAAGGTGAGTGGGGGTTTCCACTTAGGGCTGAGGTGTTTCTGGACTGTTCCCACTAGGTTCCGCCCCTCTGTGGTGAAAGACTGCATCCATGCCGTGCTGAAAGAGGAACTGGCCAATGCCGAGTACTCTGCAGAGGAAACACCGCAGCTCACCAAGCACTTATCAGAAAACATCAAAGATAAGTTAAAAGGTGATTGTCCCTTTAAATGCAGCTCTACCCCAGTAGGTTTCCGGTCTGTAAGTGCCTCAAGCTGGGAATTTAGCTCAGTAGCCTAAGTGCCTTCTTGGCAGACCTGAGGCCGTGAGTTTAATCCTGGTACCACCAAAACAAAACAAAACAAAACAAATTTCAAAATAAATGTTACAAACTGTGGTTGCAGTTAAAGGCAAACTTAAATATCTGTCTTCTCTGGTTACTTGGTGACTTCTACAGGTTTTTATTTTTTAGATGGTGCGAAGGAATCAAGATGCGAAATAGACCCTTGTAGGAAGACACTGTCCAAGAAATTGTGTATGCAAACTGGGTGGGGCAGTGCATGCCTGTAACCCCAGCACTCTGAGAGGCTGAAGCAGGAGGATCACTGCAAATTCCAGGTCAGCCTGAACTACATAGTGAGTTCAAGGCCATCCTGGGCTACCTAGTGAGACCCTGTCTCAAGAAAGTATTTAAAAATACATAAATAAATAAATCACATGCAGAGAGAATCTTCTTTCCCATCTTGCTGGGTTGTTTCCTTTTTCTTTTTTTGGACGGGAATCGAACTCAGGACCTTGTGTTTTCCAGGCAGGTGCTGTGCCACTGAGCTGCATCCCTGGCCCCTGGGTTGTTTCTTCTACCAGGCTACACTGGCATTTTCTTAGCCTGGCATTCAGTGCCCCCGCAAGGCTGTGATCATCCACGTCTCCAGCCAAATCCTCAACTGCTTCTCTTACTCTTGCCTCTGTAGCTGCCAAACTCTACATAAACTTTTTTTTTTTTTGGTCCATTTGTTTTGTTTGGGTTTTTGGTCTTTTTGAGACAGAGTCTTGCTATGCAATTCAGGTTGATCTTGAGCTAACTTTGTAGCACAGGCTGGTCTTGAACTTGCAGCAGTCCTCCTGCCTCAGCCTCCCAAGTGCTGGGATTATAAGTGTGTACTACCATGCCTGTTTGTTTTGTTTTTTTGAGACAAGTTCTTACTATGTAATTCAGGTTGGCCCTGAACTCACTATGTAGCCCAGGCTGGTCTTGAACTTATGGCAATCCTTTTGCTTCAGCCTTCTTACATGAAGTTTTATTGGAACACAACTGTATCAGACTCCACAGGGCCTATGTTGTATTTAATGCACAGTAGGGAAAGAAGGGAGCTGGGCTTTGAGAGAGCATTCTAGATGTTTATCACACCTCATCTTCCCTGGGCCTTGCAATAAGCCTGGGACATAGGTAATGAAAAGGTTAACTAAGTTCTTTAAGGTGGTTAAGTTTACATTAGGCTCTGTGTTCAAATCTCTCTCATTCCCAAGCTTGCCATCACAGGCATGAAATACCTGTGGACTGGTGTGATCAAAATGTATGGCAAATGCTTAAGAAAATTTATTATAGTAAAAGACACATTGTCATGAGTCCTCCAGAAAATTCTCCACCCCACTTCAAACACACCTATCTCAACATATTTACTATTTTCTTAAGCAGTTCTAGAAGTGCTCTTTTCTGAGTATTTTTACCAGATGTGATAAAAAAAAAAATACAGTGAATACAGCGGGTGAGTGCCTTCCAGCGGGAAGGTGAGGGCTTGGTAAATCAGTATGCTGAATCCTCTCATCATCACCTTATTCACTGGATCTGGGGCCATGTGACTTCTGGCTCTTTCTCAGAGTGAAAATGCCCATGAAATGTTGAATTGATAGCAGCCATGACAGTGTAACTAAAGACCTTCATGAAAGAGGACTCTAGAACTGCTGCAGAAAGTGGCAAGAATGAAGGGATAAGTGTGTTTGAAGAGTATTTTGAGGAGGATTCACGGCAGATGTAGCTTTTAATGTAATCAATTAAAAACATGGGCCTGGGGATTTAGCTCAGCGGCATAAGCGCCTGTCTTGCAAGCATGCAGTCGTGAGTTCGATCCCCAGTACCGATAAAAAGGAAAAAGACAAAAAACAAACAAACAAACAAACAAACAAACAAAAACTTTTAGGTTAGACATGGTGACACATACCTGTAATCCCAATCGTCAGGAGGCTGAGGCAGGAGCATCACCATGAATTTGAGGCCAGCCTGGGTTACAAATTGAATTCAAGGCCAGCCTGAAATGCATAATGAGACCTTGTCTCAAAAAGACAAAAAATAAATAAAATAAAATTTTAAAAAAGTAATTTTGCCACATATTCACTTACAGAAAACTTTCTTGTTTTCTTTTCTAGAAATAGGATTTGACCGATATAAAATGGTGGTACAAGTGGTGATCGGAGAGCAAAGAGGAGAAGGGGTTTTGTGAGTAGCTGTCTGCTCCTTTTGTTGTTATTCATCTGTTTTCTGTAAGATATTTGTTGTTTTGACAACTTAGTGTCATTGTCTTGCAAGAGTGAACGGGAAGAACAGCTGAACAAAATGCAGCTGTGAACTGGGCAGTGTGGTCCTGATGGTACGCCCGTGGGCGGGGGTAAGCCCATGGGGTATGAAGAGGTGGCTGCATCTTCATACGTTTGGCAGGCCGATAGGTGCGTAGGGCCTGTGTGGGTATGCTTCCTTTCTTATTTGTTGTGTGTGTGTGTGTGTGTGTGTGTTTGGTTTTGAGACAGCGTCTTGCCGTGTAGCCCAGGCTGACCTTGAACTTGCCTCATTCCTCCTGCCTCAGCCCGGTTTGCCGGTTTGGACGTTTCTTTTTTTTTTTTTTCCCTGTACCAGGGATTGAACTCAAGACCATGGGCTTGCAAGGCAGGCGCTTATACCACTGAGCTAAACCCCCAGCCCCCAGTTTGGATGTTTCTGTGCATTATGGAATGACATGCTGCATGTCCTCTCACAGTCCTTGGTGCCCACCTTTTGGTTTTTATTACTCTCCTAAATTAATGTCTTTAAAATTGAGACCTGTTAGCAAATCTAATTGCCCTTTCTTAGCTCTTGGCCTTGGCTTCTGTTTCTTAAAACTCCTTTGGTATTTTGGCCCTGATTTCAGGTAATTTTGTTTTCTAGCTGCTTATCTATTCCTGATCTGTAGTTTTGTTCCCTCATTCCTCCGTCTCTGCCTTGCCATTTATCTGGTAAGGAAATTGGGTGGCTGGCCCTGTAGTTTCCTGTATTCTGGCATCTGCTGATTGCGTCCCTGTGGTATTGTTGGCTGTAGCTTCTATTGCCTGTGTTTCCTGTAAAGAAACACTTTGTTCTAGTACTTTCTTTTGGCAGGGTCGGGCAGAACAGGGCGCCTCTCGCGTGCAAGGCAAGCTTCCCCCAGCTGCCCTTGTGCTCGGGTGAGGACTCGGGATTGTGTTTGGCCTTCTGGATAGCTGCTCCCGAGTGCCCTCATCTGAGAGTCTTCAGCTCACTCAGAGGTCTGCAGCTCCGCTTTGCCACATTCGTAGGCTTTGGGGACAGGGACGTAGACTTGGATTTGGGGATGATTTTGCTTAGCTTTTTAGGTCTGTGCTCGCACAGTCTCAGAATTCAGCATATTCTGTTGTGTCCCCTGCCTGTGATGGTGCCAGGTGCCAGCAGGTTTCCCTTTCCTTCTGTAATCAGGACCACTGTGGGGCAAAGCCAAGACTCAGCCTTGTGCCCTGTGCCCAGAGCTGCCCGTGACTGGCGGCATTCTGTTGCGGAGCGTCCACTCAGCGCTCTCTGTTTGTTCTCCTTGTCCTGGCATTTGGGCTCCTCTCGCTGGTCTGCTTTAGTAAGCTCTCTAATGTTTTACCAATTTTTAGTTGATCTCAGTGGGAGCATCAGCCTGCTATGATCCATCCTGAAAGGCGTCTCCCAGATCCTGTGACCTGCCTCTCACGTATGTGTGTGCATGTGGGTGTGTGCAGGCATGTAGGTACTTACAGGCGCACACTCAGGCAGCTTTGGTGTGCACCGCATGGTACAGGCTGATCTCATGCGTCTCCAGCCCTACATCTGGACCTGGACCTGGACCTGGCTGTTTCCTCAAGGAGTTGGCTCCTTTTATTGGAAAATAGTGTGTTAGATCACAGGATTTTTTTTGTCTTTTTTATTTTTTTTGGTACCGAGGATCGAATTCACAACCTTGTGCTTGCCAGGTAGGCACTTGTGCTGCTGAACTAAATCCCTGGCCTCTTTTTTGCCTTTTTGAGACTGGGTTTCACTATGTAGTTCAGGTTGGGCTTGAACTCACTTTGTAGCCCAGGTTGGACTTGAACTCGAAGCAATCTTCCTGCTTCTGCCTGCCTAGTGCTGGGATTCCAGGCATGTGCCACCATAGCTGGCCTTAGGTCACAGTTTGAAGGCAAAGATTGTGTTTTATGCATTTTTTTTGCAATACTGTTATTTAAATAAAATTTTTAAGTACCTCTTTTTGTTTTTTTGCTACTGGAGATCGAACTCATGACCTTGTGCTTGCCAAGCAGGTGCTTATGCCGCTGAACTAAACCCCTGGCCTTTAGATTTAGATTTATGCCCTTGCTTAGTCCTACTTAGTTGGTTCCTGCTGTCTTCTTTCATAAAGTCTTTTTTGGCTTTTTTTTTTTCCCTCTCTAAATTCTCTAAACTTTTGTAGTCTTAATATTGCATTAGCTGGAGGCTTAGACTTGATGGTCCTTACAATCTTTTAATCCTAATAAATCATAAATGAGCACAAAGTGTGCACTCTCTTATTCTTCCACAGTGTGTTTACTTTTTCACCTAATTGAGCTGGGAATTGAGGCAGGCAGCACATCTGCCTGGACACCTGGGAACTGCTGCAGGGCAGGGTGAGTGGTAGAGTTTGAATAGGCCTGATCCCTGAGCTACACCCACAGGCTTTAAGGCACTTTTTCAATTGGCTGATTAAATAGATTATTTCACTTCACATTGTTAACACTGCAGTTTGGAAACAGATGAAACTTTTTTGAATTAGGGATATGTGAGCTGGGTTTGGTGGCACATGTCTGTGTACTCCCTGCTACTTTGGAGGCTGAAGCAGGAGGACTGCTTGAGCGTAGGAGTTTAGGGCTAACCTGGCAACAAAGCAACATCCTGTCTCTTAATGAAAGAAAGAAGCAAAGAGATGGTGTATATATGTCATGGGTTCTGAACTGTCTGGGTTCAAAGCCAGTTTTGTCTCGTACGACCTTTGACACTGACGCTCCATTTCCATGCTTACTAAATGGGCATGACGACAGAGCACACCTCATGTGACCCAGTGAATTCATACAAGAGAGCATTTAGACCAGTGACCAGCACAGAGGAAGCACTCAGAAAATGTTAGTGATGAATTGTAGATGTGCATAGGAAGAATGTAAAACACCTGTAGTTACTTTTGAGATGCTATAATTTCATTTATCAATCCAACATAATTGGGCTTTGTATTCAGTTTTTGATTGGCTTTTATTTATTTTTATTTATTTATTTATTTTTGTCTTTTTCCTTTTTTTCAGTACCGGGGATCGAACTCACGACTGCCTGCTTGCAAGGCAGGTGCTTATGCCGCTGAGCTAAAACCCCAGCCCCTAATTGGCTTTTATTTTTGACTAATATATATTTTTTCTTATCCAAAATGTGGGGAGAGTAGTATTAGCCAATTTGAGAATGTAGAAAGAACATAGTAGCTGGACGTGGTGGCACACACTTACAATCCCAGCACTTGGGAGGCTGGGGCAGGAGGATTCCTGTGAGTTCTAACATAATGAGCCTCTGTTATTGGAAAAAAAAAGAACACAGACAGACAGTGTCCTAATAGGCCACTTCTGCATTCAGTTCAAAGGCTGAATTCTAGTGCAATTTGTCCCTTTTGGCTCTACAAAATGACCGAACTGGACTGTATAATGCTTGGGTCCTATGCACATTTTTCTTCTACTATGATGCGGGAAGCGAGCCCATTAAAAGTCACACATATTTACAAGGCGTGAGGATGATACACACTGAATAGTTAAGTTTCAAAACTTTATTATGGTAAAGTATACATTGCTGCTAGTCCCCTCAAACTATTTCCCCTTACTTCAAGCGTGTTTATTCTGTTGTTCTTGCTACTTTCTGAAGCAGTTCTGGACTCTTTCCTGAGTGTCTTTACGAGATGCACAAAACTACAGTGAACACTGCCTGTTGAGTGAGATTCACTGGAAAGGCGGGCTCGTAAAAATAATAGTGTGTCCTTACCCACCTTGTTCACCAAGTCCGGCGCCATGTGAGTTTTGGCTTTTTCCCAAAGTCGAATGACTGCCAGTCTGCACAGTGAGACCCTGTCTCAAGAAAAAAACAAAAACAAAAACAAAACCCACTCGGGGGGCTGGGGATTTAGCTCAGCGGCATAAGCGCCTGCCTTGCAAGCAGGCAGTCGTGAGTTCGATCCCTGGTACTAATAAAAAGGAAACAGACAAAAACAAACAAACAAAAACCCACTCAGGAAAGCAGACTTTAGAGAGTGGCAAGAGAATGGGATGAGTGTGTCCCAAGTGAGAGGGTGTTTTCTGAAGGAGATCCATGGTGATGTGTCTTTTACTGTAATACATTCTTTAGATGTTTATAAAAATATTCACTGTGTTTTTGGATCATGCTTGGTATCTTAGCTGAACTTATCTATAGTAGAGCTCTGCTCAGAGGAGCAGGCTTCAAGATGTGGACTCCTGCTCCTCAGGCGGTCACTCAGGGTCTGACACTGCCCAAGCCCAGGCTGGTCATCTCTGGCTTGTGACTTCTGTGCCAGCCTGGCCTGTGAAGATTTCGGAAGCATCATCTATGGAGTGCATGAAGGCAAATCTTTGCTCTGGCAGATACGTGCAGTTCAGATCCATGTAGTATCACTGACTGTTGTCCTTTCTGTGCCTCTCTAGCATGGCCGCTAGATGCTTCTGGGATGCGGACACTGACAACTACACTCACGATGTTTTCATGAACGTAAGTCTGCCTGGAAACCTTTCCTGACCAGGGACACGCGGGCATCTCGAATCAAGGTATTCAGTGTTTATCAAGATGCAAGGACACTGCAGTTCCAGACATTTGTCTTAGACTTCTTCTCAATGCTGTGGTTGGCTTTTTTTTTTTGGTACCAGGAATTGAACTCATGACCCAGTGCTTGCCAGGTAGGCACTTATGCCACTGAGCTGAATCCCTGACCCTTGATGCTGTGGTTTTACTGTTCCTTCCTGTGTTACTAAAGCAGAAACCTGGCATTCTCTTTATAGTATGGAGATTGAGTGCACAGGTGACACAACTCCTTACAGCTTTGAATTTTGGCAGAGCCTATTAGTTACTTGACATATTATCGTTAAAATTATTTTAAAACTGCACAGTGGGGTGTAATCCCAGCACTTGGGAGGCTGAGACAGGAGGATCACTGGGAGTTCGAGGTCAGCCTGGGCTACATAGTGAGACCCAGACTCAAAACAAAAAAAAATTTGTTTGAATGTTAGTGAGTTATTTACACAAGTGTTTATATGTTTTAATTATAGGCTGTTGTCTTGTACTTGATTCCAGAAACAGTCCCATCCTCTAATCACTGCTACTTATGAGTTAGGAGAGTCAGAGTACATTTGAAGAGCAGCTCAGTTGAGCAGATTAGGAGAGGGGCTTCATTTCTGGCTCTGCCACTTTCTAATTGTATAATTAGGTGAGTTATTGAGTTTTTCTGGTATTGTATCAAGAGGTAAATTTTCCCAGACTGGCTGTGGCTGCCTATGAAAACATGGGGAGCTTATTTAAAATAGATGCCAGGTGCTTCATCAAATAAGCCAGAGGCTGGATCAGAGAATGTGAATTTTTAAAAAGTTCCCCAGATAGGCTAGGTGTGGTGGCACACTCCTGTAATCACAGCATGCAAGAGGCTGAGGCAGGAGGATCACTGTTTGAGGCCAGCCTGGGCTACATAGTGAGTTCAAGTCTAGCCTGAACAACACAATAAAACCCTGTTTCAAAAAAAAGGTTCTCTAGGGGCTGGGGATTTAGCTCAGCGGCATAAGCGCCTGCCTTGCAAGCAGGCAGTCGTGAGTTCGATTCCCGGTACCGATAAAAAAAGAAAAAAGAAAAAAAAAAAAAGGTTCTCTAAATGACTACTGATTGCCAGGTTTTTACAAAAGTGTCAGTCCATGAAGTGAAACCAAACAGTGAAACCAAAGCAGGTTCTTCAGCACAGGTAGTCTGTTGTAGAACACAGGAGCTGGGCTGACCCAGGAACTTGGCCTTTGGTGAATCAGCAGGTGCATTGAGTTCCCATCGCTTCTCACCTGGTAGCACCAGGGGCTGCCCAGGCAAGACTGGTCCCTGTGAGGAGGACCTGCAGTGTTGGAACAAGCTTACCTGGGCTCTGGAAAGCAGTGTAACATTCCGAGCTAAAGATGGACCAATGAGCTTTACCAAAGCAGAAGAAACACTCAGAAACCATTGCGTTTATTCAGCATTTATGACAAAGTGCCATTACTCTTATTACCAAAGCTTCCTAAGTGGAGTAAGGCATTTACTATTTAGAACCTCAAAGCACTTCATAGATTATTTCCTAGAAATCAGGAAAAATGGGAATAATTGATAAATATGTATTACCCAAAATTTATTAGCTCACATTCATTCAGAAAAATTTTTTTTTTTTTTTTGTAGTTTTTGAGACAGGGTCTCACTATACAGTTTGGGCTCACCTTGAGCTCACTTTGTAGCCTAGGCTGGTCTCAAACTTGCAACGATTTTCCTGCCTCAGCCTCCCAAGTGCTGGGATTACAGGCATGTGCCACCACGCCTGGCTTTTTTTTTTTTGAGACAGATCTCGCCATGTAGTTCAGACTGGCCTTGAACTTACTTATGTATCCAAGGCTAGCCTTGAACTCGCAGTGAGTTTTCTGCCTCAGCCTTCTTGAGTGTCCCTAACTTTTTACCCAGTGGTTGTGTTTTTTTTTTTTTTTTTTTGTACTGGGGATTGAACCCAACATCTTTGCACTGAGCTATATCCCCAGTCCCCAGCCCTTTCTTTCTTTTTTTTTTTTTTTGTACCAGGGTTCAAACTCCTGACCTCATGCTTGCCAGGCTGGCACTTATGCCACTGAGCTAAATCCCCAGCCCATTCCTTTCTTATTTTGAATCAGGGTCTCATAAATTGCAGAGTTCTCCAGACTGGGAGTGCAATTTGCAATTCTGCTTCAGCCTCACTGGAGTCCTGGGATTACTGTATAGGTATGTGCCACCAGGCTTGGCTTCTGGCTTCCTGTTAGCCAGCAATTGTGTAGCTACCCACAGGAAAGCAACTTTATAGCTGTATTTTGGAAACTTGGAAACCCTTTATTTCTTGAGGAAGGAAAAAGTCTTGACCTTGAACTGTTATCCTCCTGCCTCAGCCTCCTGTCTGTTGGGATTTACAGGCGTGTGCCACTACCTCAGGCTTTGGAAGAACCCTTCCTAACTGGAAACTGACCAGGATCTGCAGTGGTGGTAATTTTAGTCGCCTGTGCTGTCCTCATTCTCTCATTGGTACTAAATTCTTGGATTTTCCCCTCTCTTGTGTCTTATTTTTTAGGACAGTTTATTCTGTGTGGTAGCAGCATTTGGCTGTTTCTACTATTGAATCTTTGAAAAACCTGGGAGAAGATATGGCCGTGAAGAAATCTGAACTTTTTTTTTTTTTTGGCAAATCTGAACTTTTTAATACTGTTTAATATCTTGATAAAATAAAAATGTGCTGCAGTTTAGAACTGAATCTGTTGTTTTAGGCTTTATATTTTTAGTGTTTTGATTCTGTTACAATATGTTTTATTATAGTGACATAGTGGCCACGCCAGTGATTCCAGCATTCAGGAGGCCAGGGCAGAAGGATTGCTGGAAGTTCAAGCCCACCCTGGGCTACATAGTGAGTTCAAAGCCAGCCTGAACTATACCTAGAGAAGCCTTGTCTCAAAACACAAAACAAAACAAACAGACCCAAAAAAAGTCTGTATATTTTGAAAATACAGGAAAAAAATAGTTGGGGACAATCTTTAAGCATAACCAACAAGAATGTTTTGGTATATGTATCATTTGCAGGGCTTAAAAACCATATATCATGTTATAACCTGATTTTTCTCATGTGTTACAGTGTCACAAGTTATGTCATTTTATGTGCATAGTAACTTTCGTAAGCATCCTTCAATGGCCACATTTGTTCTTCCAGATTCCATCACTGTTGCTTCGGCCATTTCCTCACAGAGGGACTAATTCCTAATCTTCACTATTCCCCAAATACGGATGAATCTACCTGTGCAGAAAGCTTTGTCACTCTCCTTAGCTCTTTCACCTGTGACTTACACACTCATGAGTTTAAACACTCATCCCGTTTCTCCAGGATTTGTCACATTTGAGAAATTTCAAGCTGTGTATGAAATCATGTCACCTTCAACTCTCCGTGATCCCCCTACTCTCTGTAGTGTTGTCCCTAGAGGACCCAGTGCTTGTCCAGCTGGCCATTCTTATATGTGGCACTTTTATCAGCCATGTTCAGTTCTGGACTTGAAACTTAAAAAGGGTCAGATTTAAATCCTTTTTCTTCCTGAGGGCCCTTCTGCAGGTGTACAAGTTTAACCCTTCTTTTTTCTCAGTCACATCCTAGTCAACTGTGTAGACCTAAATAAATCCATAAGTAAAAATTTGAAAAGATAGCAAATACATGGGTCACGGATTTAGCTCCAAGGCTTAAGTGCCTGTCTGGCCAGCACGAGGTCATGAATTTGATTCCTGGTACAAAAAAAAAAAAGCAAATACAGTGAAAAATTCACCATGATTCCTAAGTTTTTGTTTCTTTTTTTTCTCTTTTTGAGACAGTTTCACTATGCAGTTCAAGGTGGCCTTGAACTCACTTTGTAGCTCATGAAGGCCTCAAACTCACAGCAATCCTCCTGCTGATTGCTTTAGCCAGCACCCCCTCCCCCAGTGCTAGGATTACAGGCCTGCACCACCACATCCAGTTTGATTCATAACATTTTGATTCAAAAACAAACTTGCCTTAAAAGCAGAGGTTCATTTTCTTGGAAGTCATTTTTTTTGTGAGCCAACCGGGTCAAAGGTTAACAGGATGAACCAGGCATGGTGGCACACTCCTGTAAATCCCAGCACTTGGGAGGCTGAGGCAGGTAGATCGTTGCAAGTTCGAGGCCAGCCTGGGCTACAAAGTGAGCCCAAGGCTACCCTAAACAGCATAGCAAAACCCTGTCTCAAAAAGAAAAAAGATAAAACAACAGGATGAAGCCAGGCAGTGAGGTGCTCCTTGTATACCTTGCTATGGGAGAGTGAGGCAGAAGGATCCCAAGTTTTAGGTCTGGACAATTCTGGGAGACCCTCCTCAAATTTAGTGTTAGAGCGTTGCCTGGCGTGTTGGAGGCCCTGGTTTTAATCCCCAGCGATACACAGACGCCTGCAATCTTGGTATTCAGGGAGGCTGAGGCAGGAGTATTTATCACGTTCCCACTCACCCGGGGCAATTTGGCGATTTAGCGAGAGTGTCTCAAAATTAAAACAAGAACCAAAAACAAACGCGATCAATGAAAAGGGGCTAAGGATATAGCTCAGTGCAAAGGCCCTGGGTTTAATCCCCAGTAAGAAAATGAGGTGGGGAGAAGAAAGAGGCCAGGAATGGCGTCACAGGAGCCGGTGAACTCTCTTTCCATAACCACGGAGTTACGGCTTGGCCGACCACAGTGCGAACGCTGGCAGTTCACGTCCGTGTCCCGCGAGGAGGAAGCGTCTTCGTCGCCAGCTCCGGCTCCGGGTGGACACCGACCTTTGCCATCCACCACAGGCTCGGGCTTCCGCTCAGTCCTCCGCACGCTCCTCCGGCGTCGGGGAGGCGGAACTATTGCGTCGAGGACAGTGGTTTCCGGGGAGAAGTCGCGGTGGGATTGACAGGAGGGCGGGCAATGGGTGGAACTTCCGGCTGCTGTTCCGTCAGCTGCCTGCTCCGGGCGTCTCCCCGCAACCTCCTCAGCTTCGCTAGTCCGTGACCCCGCGCTGGGCGGCGGACGGGGCCCGGGAGCGCGAACTACGGTGAGGACCCGCTGTGTGCTGTACGCTCGCTGCCCTGTGGGAGGGGAGGCACCGTGGGGCTGGGGCGGGGTGACAGCGAAGTGAGTGTGGAGCACGGGCTAAGGGGCTACTGTGACCTAGGGCTAGTGACAGCGAGGGGACTGTGACCCAGGGTGGCTGCCCGCGAGAGGTCTGCGACCCTGGGGAGAGCGGAGGACCGGGACGCCGGGGAGCACGAGACAGAGGCTGCGACGGGACCATGCCCGAGGCAGTGGCTTCAAGGGGGCCGTGACCACGGGGCGATGACTCGAGACTGATCGATGGATGGCACTGTAAGGGGACTTTGACCGAAGGGAACGTGGGACAGCGCCTGCGAGGGAACGCAGACCAAGAGGGGCTGGCTTGGAGGAGATCGTGAGATCAGTAATGGGTGGTGCGGGGGCTGTGTGGGTGCGGCGTGGGGCCGAGTGGCCGTGAGTGGGCGGCAGGAGTGCGTCGTGGACTTAGGCAGACCCGACTTTAACTCTGTGGACTTCCTGAGCTTGGGACACTTAACCTCCACGCAGAGTTACAGTTCTGGCAGAATATGAAGTTTAGTTTAACGTCTCCCAGACTATGAGTAGCCTATTACTGGGTTGTGAAATCAACTTTATGGATGGCACTTGAGGTTTTTTTTTTAATATAGAAATGGAATAGGGTAAAAATTTTTGGTGTGTTCACATAAAGATATTGTTTCATGAAATGTGTTTCGTTTGGATTTTGTACATCTTAAAATGTACGAAGTTAAATGTAGTTTTAAAAAATCCGAAGCCTGAGAAATGATCGAAATATTTTAGAGGGTTTTTCTTTTTTTGTTTTTTTGAGACAGGACTTGCTGTGCAGTTCTGTCCTTGAACTCACGTTATAACACAGGCTGGCCTTCCAGTCTTCTGAGTCCCCCCACATATACATAAAATGTAATGATTCTGTGGTTTGTAAGTACAATGAAGCAGCTAGAAAAATAGGATCTATGTCTGGGGCATAGATCTTAGTTGGGAGAGGCAGAAGTTGTATTGAACCTGGTGTGGTGATGCACACCTGTAATCCCAGCACTCAGACGGCTGAGAAAGGAGGATCGCCACGAGTTCAAGGATATCCTGGATAGTCATCGTGAGTGCAAGATCAACTTCAATTCAGGGTCTCAAAAAAAAAGTTATACTGAAATAGAGACAGTGACATTTATAGATGCAGTGCTGATTTAGGAGTTGCATTAGGAGAAACTTCTAGGAATACACATTGAGGAGGGGGAAACTTTGATGTTAGGAACAAGGCTTGGGGAAGGAATTGAAGATAAAAACAAAACATTCTGCCAAGCATAAAATGGAGGTAGGGAGATATGACCTTCAGATTATGTTCGGTTTTTACATTTACTGATTGTGCAAGTACATAGAATTGCTAGTAAAAAGATACAGAGAGTGGGATTTGGTGCAGTAGCAGTGGGAGACAGATAATAACCATCTCGAGGAAGAGGGCACAAAGGGGTGATGCTGGGAGTGTCAGCAGTGTTGATGGAGAGGCACACAGGAAAGGCTTTCATGTGTTTGGCTGCCCGGCTCCATGACTTGTGCCCTGGAGGCTCAACCTGACCATAATGGCTATGGTTCCAGGTAACTCAAAAGTTGTTTAGCTACTGAATGTATTTTCTACTTCTTCCCTTTCATGAGGGTTGTTCTGATGCAGTCGAAATTAACTAAATTGAGTGTTGTGCCCAACTGGCTTGAGGCCTGTAATCCCAGCCCTCTGGGTGGCTGAAGTAAGAGGATTGAAAGTTCAAGCCCAGCCTGGGTAAGTTAGCAACCAGGGAGACCCTGTCTCAAAATAAACATTTAAAAAAGACTGGGGGCAGGGGGTTAGGTCAGTGCAAAGGCCCTGGTTTCAATTCCTAATACTGCAAAATATTAAAAAATCAAATGTTACTACTTCCTCTTTTTTTTTTTTTTTTTTTTTTTTTAAGACAATGTATAGTTCAGGCTGGCTTTGAATTGCAGCCTGTCAAATTGTGGGATTACAGGTGTGTGCCACAACTCCCAGCACTACTTCCTCCTCCCTTATTGTCTTTGTAAAAGATGCTGTATTGATTATACCACCCAGGGTTTAAAAAACCCAATAAAGCCTATCATGGTGGCACATATCTGTAGCCCCAGTACTCGAGGCTAAGGCAGGATTGCCCTCAGTTTGAGGCCAATCTGGGCTTTATAGTGAGTTCAAGGCCAGCTTGAACTAAATAGTGAAACTCCTCATCTCAAAAAAAAAAAAAAAAAAACAAAATCTAATAAAAGAATCTTGATGGGGGCTGGGGATTTAGCTCAGCAGCATAAGCGCCTGCCTTACAAGCAGGCAGTCGTGAGTTCGATCCCTAGTACCGGTAAAAAGGAAAAAGACAAAAGAAAAAGAATCTTGATCATTTTTCACTTATCACACACTGTTAATCTAATGACTTTATAGTCGGTAAAAAGGAAAAAGACAAAAGAAAAAGAATCTGGATCATTTTTCACTTATCACACACTGTTAATCTAATGACTTTATAGTCATCCCTGTCTCCTACACACTTACAAACTTTGTAACAGAGGAAGAGAAATCAGAAAGGTTTTGAAATGTGAATGAGTTGCCTGTAGTAGAGGATAACCTTTGGCTTAAAAATGCCTGCTTACATTTTTATCTAGACCAGATATTTACATGACTTATATTCTGTGTAACAAAAAGAAACTACTCAAGAGTTTTTGTAGGTAGTAACAATCTCTAGACATTTAGCCTTGGAGAGTATTACACTCTCTGGGATCCTTTCTGTTGGCAGAATGAAATGATTCTTTTGGGGGTTTTTTTTTGGTCTTTTTGCTTTTTATCGGTACCAGGGATTGAACTCACGACTGCCTGCTTGCAAGGCAGGCGCTTATGCCGCTGAGCTAAATCCCCAGCCCCGAAATGATTCTTTCTGATATAGTAGTTTTGCACACTTTCTTTGGCAAGAATGGACTGTGCTTACCCTTCAGCCTATGATTCACCTTGCACAAACAGGTGGGGATTTATTTTTCTGGGGACCTCCTTTTTGGAAATGGAATTCCTTAAAGGAAAATGATCTGGTTAGATAGAGCTTTCGATTCATCAGTCCCAGGTTAGTTTATATGATATTAACTGATTTATTCTGTGATCATGGGAGATATAACTGCTTTCTCTTATTTTAGATTCCCCATATCTCTGTAATTGAATGTCTCCGATTTACTCTTTGCAAACCACATTAGTAGGATCAAACTCACAACTGCCTGCTTCCATGGCAGGCGCTTATGCCGCTGAGCTAAATCCCCAGACCCTAATTTCCCCTTTCTTTTGGTAGCTCTCTTGCAATCACAAGTTGAAAGTTATATTAGCTTGAGGCTTTCTGTGTTTGGTCTAGAATGACTGACAATGAGTTGTGGCAACCCACGGATTTACTGAGCTGTTAATCACATACACAACTGTTTGCAAACCAATTTTGAAGTGAGGGCTGCTAAAAGTAGTGACACACGATCTTTGCTCCATATTAGAGAACATAATGAGTGGATCCTCAAGAGAAAACAGTGGTATTTTTTTTTCTACAGAGAATTACCTTAGATGTGGTTATGTTCACTTGCTTCATAGCTCAGGAACAAAGGTGTTAATCTTTTTTCATATCATGACTTCTTTGGCAGTATGGTGAACCATGTGGATTTTGGAATGTGTGTGTAGGTGTATGTGTAGTGTTGGGCATTGAATCCAGGGCTTCACACATGCTAAGTAAACACTCTATATCCCTAGCTTGATTTTATTTTGAGACAGGGTCTCACTGAGTTGCCCAGGCTGACCTCAAACTTGGTATCTCATTCTTAGTTCCCCCTAGTAGCTTAAGTTACAAGCTTGTGACATCATGCCCAGCTAGGGCAATGATTTTATATGCAGAAATAAAGGAAACCAACCAATCATATTGAAATAAAGCTATTTTAAAAATTTATTTATTTATTTAAATAAAGCTATTAAAAACAAATTTTGTGTGTATGGTACTGGCAGTTGAGTCCAGGGCCTTTGCACTGAGTTATATCCCCACCATTTTTCAAAATTTATTCTGAGAAAGGGTCTGAGTCACTCAGGTATCTAGGCTGGGCTCAGACTTGCAATCCTCCTGCCTCATCCTCAGCTTGTTGGAATTACAGGCATGTGCTAACACACCTGGCTCCAAAATTCTTTGTGTCATATAACACTATGTATGCCTTTTATTTGCATAGTAAATAATGTTTACTGTCTATCAGTAGGTTTTACGATAATATTAAAATGATCATGGGTTTAAACTACTTCATGATAATTGTAGAAAGTATAATATATGAAAATATGATTTCTATTGGTGGCAAAGTCTGTTTGTCTACTAAATCTGTTACTGCTGTGGCTCATGTTCATAACTGAAGGAAGCAGCAAGGAAGAGCTTGTTGAAAATAGATATATAACTTTTGGGCATCCAAATTCACATTCTTCTTGAATCCTATCATAAACTGCCTAAGAGACCTAAGTACCGTAATCCACTCTAGGAAGAGTATATTCTAAATGTAGGGTTTGCTCACTGAATCTTCTGACATAATAGTGGCAGAGAAAACTTTCCCCAACCGTTAAGAAATGGTACAAATGTCCCTTATGGTGTTTAGAAGTGTCTCTTTGCTGAAATATCCTGCTGTATGGTCAGGCCCAAGTATAAGTTTTATTTTGTGGCACAAGCTCAGAGTGAGTGCCTGCTCAATGTTTGTTGAGAAAGATTTCTCTGGAGAAATTAGAGGGAATAGATCAAGTTTAAAGCTAAGATGTTAGCTGTGGCAGTTTACAGGCATCAAATATTAAGGGTTATCATTGAGCTCTTGCTTACAACTAATTTTTATGTTGTGAGAGTCACCTTTATAGTTAGAAGTCTCCAACTCAGACATCCTTTTAATTTATTCTATCTAGTGTGGTGACATATATGGGCTAGTTACCCAAACTGTAGTAACACTATTATGGTATAATTTTGTGAAACAATTCTATTCCTAGAATTGCCCCCAGTTTGTTTGTTTTTGTTTGTGACAAGATCTTGCTTTGTAATGTGGGCTTGTCCTTAACTCACTATATAGCCCAGGCTGGCTTTAAACTCAAAGTGATCCTCTTGCCTCAGCCTTCCTAGTGCTGGAATTACAGGCATGTACTACTATGCCCAGAACACCCCCACTTAGATTACATTGATCTAGATAACATTTGTCAACAAATTATTGTTAAAGCTGGTCCTGTCTTCATCAAGGTGTAAATTGGTAAACTTTTCTTAGAA